GATGGTAACAGCCCTTCTACTTTCATATCTTATAATACAGTAATAACATAACACACGGTAGCATTACTCACAATATCTACAATGATAATTAACTTTTTTAATAAAGTAGATTAAGTGTTGATTTATTTCATATAATAATCACCTTTTAGATAATAAAACCAAAACAAGAAAAATTGATCATCTAAGGCATTCCTTTAGAAACTATAACGATTTTACAGTATAATGAAAAACAATAAACTAACCTCTCTACATAAAAAAAAATCATAGCTGCAATGTAATCTCCAATTTCAGTAAAGGAAGACATTGAGTTTAATTATACATTTGTGAAGAAAACATACCTATAATATTTTGTTCTCAAAGCATAAAAAGTTATTTTAATATACTACCATGTCCCTTGAGTAGCTCAAACCCACAGTGTTCTTTACAACATGCAATTTCTCCATTGAAAATATTTCCCTGGGATATTATCTATTTTAGTGCATGTCATGAAGACCTGGAATGCAGCTCTTCACAGAGACATTTTATATCTGGTATTACTAAGTTCATACAACAAGGAAAAATTATCTTTATATAAAAGCTTTTAATCTATAGATTTAGAATGACTTCAAATATATACATGGAAGTGTAAATGGGGGCAAAAATATATATGGGAGTATAAATACTCTTACATTTGATTTTCTAGAAAGAAGACTTCTTATATTTTATCCAAACAATTCATCACCAGCAGCAGAGCACTGTCTGAAAATGCTGCTGTTTGCTCATTCAGGTTAGAATGACAGTCAAGTTTTATGGTTTTTTGTTTGTTTGTTTGTTTTCTTTGATTTTTCAAGACACAATTTCTTTATGTAACAGCCCTGGCTGTACTGAAACTAGCTCTGTAGGCCAAGCTGGACTCGAAGTCACAGAGATCCACCTGCCTCTGCCTCCTGAGTGCTGGGATTAAAGGCGTGCACCACCACCGCCGAGCTTATGTTGATTTTAAGACATTCCCCAAAACTTTGCTAGCTTCAAGAGGGAAATTAGCTTTTGAAACCTAAAATAACAAACAAAAATTAAACAATTAAGTCACCCATGATAACATAAAGCTGTAATTCCAGAACTCAGAGGCTGAGGAAGAAGAATTGCCAACTACAGGCCAGTCTGGATTATTCAGCTAGACCATCTTCAAAAGACCATCACCAAAATTAGATCTCTTAAAACAGATTTACATTTCAAGATCCTGTATTTAATATAGTATCTTAAGATGTTAATAAACATAGTGTTAATTATTTCATTCAAAAAGATAACTGATAGCCATATAGAATTAGCATCAACTTGAAATGGTTAAAAATTAAAGTTGATCCAATGTTTTTCTTCAATCATTCTTGAAATTGCTACTAACTTTATCATATTACTAGAAATTAAATTGAAAGGTATATCTATGAATTATATATCTATGTATTTAATTAATGTAAATTATATAAGAATTATTCACCTTGATTTGTAAGTTTTATCCAAACATTACCTTATCCTAAAATTTAATCTCACTGAGACATTTTTTCCACATGTACAGTAAGGAGAAATATCACAGTGTTCTAGCTAATTTTGTGTGATTTTGTGTCATCCAAATGTTTTAACAAAAGATAATATTTAGATAATTATTATATGTAAAGAAAAAAGAAAACTAATTTCAAGAACACTATTTCTGAAGATCCTTTTCTTATCATATTATATATTCTGCAATAATATTAGATATCCTAAAGTAATATTAGATGTTATATAATAATATTAGATATTCTTTATTAATATTAGATATACTATAACAATATTAGACATCCTGTAATAATATTAGATATCCAATAATAATATTGTATATCCTGTAATAATTAAGCCACTTGGGTTGAAAAACTTCCCACAAAAACTATAAATTAATAGAAATCCCAGTTCTAGGTAAAGCAAATCTTTTGAATGGTTAGGGTAGTCAAGTGACTCTAAAAATAGTATAGATTATCACTACACCCCTTGGTTTGCTACTTAGGGGTCAAAGGTGAGCCACTATTGTTGAAGACTCTCCATACTTAGGAGTTAGATCTCACCCAAAAGCCTTTTTCCAGCCCTCTGACCTCCAGAGTACCAGAAAGTACTGTACAGGCTCCCATGGAAGGGGAGCAATTAAGTAGTCTTACCAGCTGTGACATCTATGAATCACAGCAATGACCAGAAGGGCAAGGTAGGCATGAAGGTGCAAAACCGGCACTCACACGCCAATGGTAAGGAACAGCTGTCACTTGGACTTAAGGTCTACTCTACAGGAGGGAAATCATTGTCCATACCAAGAACCTAGCCAGTTTCCTGTGGCTAGTGACATCACGCATACTAGAAAATAATCTATTGCCACCACTACTTTGCTAGACCAGCTTAATTCCATGTTGCTACCATCCATCAAAGAAGCCTCTCTTTATAGCAAATGGTGAGCATGACAGAAAACTACAACTGGACACAATGCGGAGATCAATGCACTGGAGGAGCCCAGCTATGGACACATCTACATCATAGCCCCTGCTTCTGTGACTCAGGAAACATCATACATGAGAGGGAAAAAGATTATAGTCGCCAGAATGTCAGGGAGTTTGTGGGGAAACAGTCTTTCCTGGACATAGTTTTACAAACAAGACCGGAACAGTGGCTATATCAATGGTCATATTAAAGTGGATTGGGAAAACTTCGCAGGTCCCATTCCTAGACAAAGAAATACCGGCAACTAATAATGGCTGGGATATAGAGAATTAGCCTCTTAAAGGAGTGAGTCCTTTTACTGGTTATACTATATAGAGTGGTCAGCGCTGAAGGCATAGATACATGAATGCCAAAAGCTACCGGGAAGGTACACACACACACACACACACACACACACAGAGAGAGAGAGAGAGAGAGAGAGAGAGAGAGAGAGAGAGAGAGA